CCCTCCTTTCGCCCGAATCTACATAATCAACTGAGATTTTGACATTTGAACGAATTGACACCCTCAGGAATCGAGGTGGAGCTCAAAGACGATCAAATGGACTAAAGTGGGCACAAATTTTAGGCTTGACAACTCAGAAACACAGCAAATTATTTAATTCGACAAAAAATAATGTTCATGTGTTTAAGAATTAGAATTGAAGAGAGATTTAAAATGGGTGATTGAGTATGTCCAGTGATGTGTCGGAGGAGGTAAGCCGATTGTTCATCGCATGTCAGTCAGATCGCCGACCGTTTGACTTTTGCAGAAGGTACGCTCGTCCACCTTTCGCCAAAGCCATTTCTTCCCCACCGATGAGGACGCAAGATTTACAGAGGAGCGTTGTTCACTCTGATGGGGAATAAAGTCGCCTTCCTCCTCTCCCAATGAAGTCTGCATTTTAAGGCGCACAATTTAAAAGGCATTTCTAGTGTGGTTCGAAAAAACAATTAAACTGACTTCTTTATAATAAACGAAATTAATAGACAAGGGAAGGATTTGTAAACGCTACAAAGGACCATTTAAGCCTAAAAATAAGTGCTTTGAAAAATTGAGGGGACGCCTTGTTTCCCAGAGCGGCTTTTCGCCTTGCCCAATCATCGACCTCAGTGGCGGAGGCATTCGCCAGTACGACCGGCGCATTCGCAAGTAATAAAAGAAGGCCAAGTAACTCCTAACTAAATAATGAAGAGGGCGACCATAGGGTTAATCAAACCTTTTACACATTTGTAAAATGTACGCCTTACACTTCAAGTTTTATCGGTTGTTTATTCATGCCGTTCTGTCACCGCCTCTTTTGGTGTGGACATAGCAACCAGGAGGTGAAATGACGGCTTGGGAACGTTGTGTCATGTCATGACAAATTTATGGCCTGATTGCAGCGTTCCAAGACTTCCCATCGAGTAGAAGTAGGCATTAAGCGGAGCCAAAATACATGTATTCAGGGGAGAACAAAGGCATTGGACCTGAGCTTGGCCCGAAGACCAGCCCACGCATACAAGGGACAGACGAAACTTAAAGTAACCGCCAGACATCAAGTGGTCACACAAAAAATGCATTATACTGATTCGCTCTGAAGAGTAAAGATGTCTACAAGCTTCCACTGCTTTTGCTAACTTACATTCATAACCTACAATAAGGACTATCGTTTTAGCAAATTTTATAAGAAAGCACGCCTCAGTGTTGTGCAATGCATCGACAAGATTGCTGTAAACACTACGCAACGTGATGCGCAGCCCGGAAGGTCTTGCCACAATTGGGTACAAGGGTGCCTTAAGAATGGTGAAAAATCGTGAGGTAATTATTCAAAATTCTTTGATCTGGTACTTGGCAGACCCAGCACATAATTATGCACGCATTTTAATCGAATTGAATGTCACATATGAATCGACGTGGGCCTCGAGCTGCCTTCCCATAGTTCAAAAGTTACCCACGTATTCATATTATTGTTCCTCACTGACATTTCCGAAAACGAGAAGGTCTGCCCACTCAAAAGGTTGAAAGACTGAGGGAAAATGTTTGTTTTGATCAGCCATAGTGAGAATGGACTTCCATTCCATTTTGGGGTTTTATGTGGTGCATCGTGAAAAGGTGTTTGGGTCAGGAAAACAATCAACATAAATAACCATTTTCACTGAATAATTTCGCATTGACGCCTACCATCATAAAATTGTGCGTCAACAGAAATAGAGGTGAATCTCCACTCACATGTTCCGAATTGTCAGAAATGGGTAGCCACTTGTCACACTTAAGTAAGGCAATGCGATGAGAAATCGTGGATTTCTCTTCTACTTGACACATGACTTTGTCGTTTAAAACATGTTAGCTATAAGACTGCACACACATACACACACCTCGGAGCCAACTCCGATTACCACCACCCTCATCATCATTGCTATCATCTTTAGATGTGAGAGAAAGCGCAGCGTGTTACTCAATGACGCCTTTAATGTAGCTAACGTTGTATGCCTAAGAAGCGTGGAGGCGGTAACATCTAACAGGGGAGGGAGGTTGATAGAGCATCATTCATCACATTCAGCTCGAACTAAGGCGTTTATCGATTAATGCGTGGCCTGTGTGAAAGCAGCTCATTGCAGAGTGGAATCCAATAATCGATATTAATCAAAGACGGAGACATTGGTGTTGCGCCCTTCAGGAGTAAGATCAACAAAATAACGACCTTCGGGGAAGGAAGAGAATTTTCTTTAAGCAAAGTTGAAGAGTGAATGAGTTGAAGTGGACTAATCGTAATCTTTTGGGACGGAACTTTTATTTTGGAAAGAGTAATGCAGAGTTCCCTTACAGCAATCATTTATAGCCACGTCCATTGCTTTTACTTTGTTTGGAGGACCAGCATAGACAACATGTTGCCGGTAGGAAGGTGAAATCTTGCTAAATTTCCCGTTGATGCTAAACTCGAGGTCTTGTAGCTGCGTTGCTTTAATGCTTGTGCCACCATTTTGGCGTAGGTATGAGAAGGGATGTGAATGCAAGTCATTATATGATGGTCAATCGTGTAGCATGTGGGGTGATGGCAATGGCAGGTCTGGGTCCAAATATGAGTCAATATTTTAGCTGCTGAATAGAGATTGATTTGATCGGTTCACATATATAAATGTGATACCATTTTGTATTTTATTTTTTTCGATGGTCGTTCAGCATCCTTTCAAGAGCTCTGTTTCGAGCTCAGTTACCTGACTGTATACAAAAGGCAGAATGCTTTTATCGAAGAATGTCTTCGAATTGACATAACGAGCAAACATTGTTTTGAGAGCTGTACTGTCCAAAGCTTTTTACGCAGAACTTTTGTTCTTCCGTCTTCACGGTAGCGTGTGCAAGATAGCAAACAGCTGAAGGATTTTCTTCACTAACAACAAATTTTTTTGTGCAAAAGATGCTTCATCTGCGCAAAATTAAGACATCATATTGTATAGGTCAGGGAATGAAAACTTACTAGGGTACTGCTTCCAAAATAAAAGAGGTTGTCTTGGAGGCTCGGTGACAATAATACGGCCTCTTTCCTCAGCCCATGACCACCCAAGAATGCCCCACGGCAGGATTTCTCCATTGAAACATCCAAGGAGCAGATAGCAGATAGGAGTTAGGGGTGGGTCATTTTGGGGTATTTAACGATGCGTCCTTTCGCTAGTTGCTATGCCGACTAAGTGGCTGCATGAAGCTTCATCAACTGGCATTTGCTTATGCTAGGTAGGCGTACAGATCCGTTTGCAGCATTGCCCTCACTACCTCCTTCTCTTAACAAATGCAAATCTGGCCCACTCACTTCGTATACGACCACCAACTCATCCTGGCACACGAGACTTAAATGCATTCCAAAATCTGTCATCGGAATCAAGTAGCTTGTTTAATGTATGGGAAACGTGGTAAGGCTTCAGTGCCTCATGAATGACAAATTAATTGGCGGTCTTTAAACTTAATTACGCGCGGATCACATCCATACTGTGATTAATTATGTTTACCAGCTGAAACAAAAAACAACTGCAGGCTTACAGGACCTGTCAGCGACTTAGATAGGTATTTTTAAGTCGCCTGACGTAGCAGTCTTGAAGAACTTTAAAGTGCCACCGATGCCATTTAACAGTGGTCACAAACATAGTTTCTTTTACGAAAAATACTAAGTTTTACTAGCTTCCAGGCACAACAAACACGTCCAATCCCAAATTTGGTGTCTCTGTTTCCGTGACCAAACAAGAACTGTAAAGCGCTCAAAAAAGCAAAATCCAAGCAGCCTTAAGATGTGCAGTTAGGCACACTAAAAGATAAAAAGCCAGGCATTAATGAGCTTGCAGAATAAAGTCAAAAGAAAAAAATTTTTACGACCAGCACCTGATCAGTAAGCTACACATCATTCACGTCCTACTTATAATTTAATAGTAGAATGCAGCCTCAAAACATCTGTTGCAGTGTTATTTCCCATACGCGAAACAACATCAGTTCGATGAATTTCTACAAGAATAAAGTATTATAAGATTATTGTCCAACATGAGGGTTTCAGCGTACATAATTAACACTTTAGTCTGCAAGACGATCTGGTTTACCACAACCTGAGAAGAGGGTCGGAGAAGAGGTGTTGAGTCAAAGTTAGAAAGTGGATTTTGCAGCTGACTTTATCAATAAATACTACTAAAAAAAGCAGCGTGATAATGAATACTTCATTTTTCAAAAGCTGTTGGATTAGAGCGAGAGATGAGAAGTTCAGTTTCAGGACTAATCATTTCTCACGTGCAGTGACAAAAGTTAAAATGTTTACTGAGCTACCCACTTAACTATGAGCTATATAAGAGAACTTGATAATTCTTTTGGCACACTCTTTTATCTCAAGGAAAAGCAGCAGAAACAATAGTGTCAAAATAAATTTGGGCTCTAGTGGAAACGCATGACATTTGCTTAGCGCTGGCAATTTACTCGAATTCCCGTAAAGGATACTGCACTGTTGAGACGAATTAACAATGTGCCTCAATTGGCAGTCCAATTTTTAAGTTCAAACACTCTATTCCCACAAATATGCTTTGTTTCGACATGTGTTAAGTCATAAATTTGGCTCTGACTAGTTTGATCGTTCAAGAAGACAAACAGCAACGAAACCACCTCATAATTTCGTTGTTTTACGGCTCCTAAGAAGTCAGGTTTTAAAAATTTACGTTACATCTTGTCATTGACATAAGATAGGAAGTAAAAAAAGAAATTAAAAAGATTTTATGGACATGATCCTAAAATGGCACAAAACTTAGCCACTTAACAACTAAGAAGTACTTAAACATGCATTCTCTTTGAACTCATTTCCAAAATATCTAACAAAAATAAAATTGGGTCAACGCTGAGTGGTTAAATTCTCCTTTTGCATTGCGGCCTCCTGTTGGTCAGCCCCCAAAACTAGACAGCCAATCAGGCGCGCGGTTGGACGGTAAACCCTAGGAGGGAGAGGAAACGTCATATCAGACATGAATTCCACAGCCCCATCACCACTATTAAGTAAGTTACGACAATGCCTCGATTTTCAGCTCTGGTCCAAAGGTCCCAATTTTCGGCGAGTCCTTATAATCTATCAAACCACACTGGTTACCTACTTGGGTCTCCCTGTCTCCCTCATTGGGATAGCAACTAGTGTGGTAAGCCTAGTTCTCTTCTCACGCGACAACTTGACACCTCAGACCACTCGTCGACTCCTTCTCACCATGTCTGTCGCCGACGCTGTCTTTCTACTCTCCTCGCTGCTCTATTTACAGACTATGAATCTCTGCGGTGGAGGCTGTCGTCGAATCTCTTACCTCTTGCCAGTTAGCACTCTGGTCAACATTTTTGAGATGTTGCGCAACTGGACTGTGGTATTGGTTTGTATTGAGCGCTATATTATCACATGTCACCCTCTGCAATCAAAGCAGTGGTTGAGTTTGTCTAGGACCGACACATCCATTGCTCTCTGTGTCATCGCCACGGTTATTGCTCGCATCCCCTTTATGGCCTACGTGACACTGGAATCCTATGGCATAACTTTCGCTAGCACAGTTCATCTGCTTAAACAGATCCATTCAACAATCGATGCATTTATCATGACGGTTTTGCCCCTTCTCATCATTGTGATATGCAGCCTTCGAATTTCTCGGTGCATTCAGGACTCCGAGTTGCTTCATCAAGCGCTGGTCGTTATCACGCCATCCTACCCACCGGGCACAAGAAAGCGCCTAAAATATCGCTCCAACAGTTTCAAAGTAACACGAGTTCTGTTAGTCGTGATAATCGTATTTTCTATCCTTATGCTGCCCCTCGTCCCTGTAAATGTTCTCGCTTTCGAGTGGTTCTTTCCAGGCGCCACATGCCCTGTACTTATTGGGCGACAGGTTGTTGACCCTTTGGCGGTTTTTGGATCCCTCCTTCACTCCATGGCGAATTTCTTAATCTATGTCATTTACTGGCAAAAGTATCGACGAGTTCTTTTAACCATGTGCCGTGGAAGGAGTCTCAATCAACATTTCAGACGCAGTTCAACGTTCTGCTCCAATGATGGGCTCTTGCCGAGATTATTTACCACCAAGTAACCTTTCCACGTCTGGGAGTGAAGAAGAACACTGTACAGTTGTCTTTGTTACTCATTTGTGCGCCAAACATTTTTTGTACATTAAAATGAGTTCATGTAAAAACCAAGCTCCTGGGTGCTATTCAGGTTGGCAGCGGTAACTTTTGTCGCTCAAAACTTCCCAGTATCCACCCATTAAACTGTAACTTTTGATGTCTTCTAAGGACTTGCTTTACAAAGTTTTGACACCGCTCGAATGGTGAATCATTTCGAGTAAATAAGGCTGAAGATTTTAGTTTTTTGCTGAGAATTTTAATTATTGTCTAAGGTTTAGTCACTCCTGTCGGAGAGCCGATTCAAAAGTTAGGCAAGATGTTGGAGATAAAAAAAGTTAGTTTGCAGATGGGTAATAAAGGGAAGCAAGGAGAAAGGCATTCTGAGGTAGAGAAAATAGGGATTATTTAGAGCTCTGGTAATTTGAGCGTGTCCCAGGTGCATCGAAGCGCACAGAATCCTTTTGAAGGTGTCGAAGGCCGTGAGGTTAAGGCGGAGGGCACGCAATTGACGTGATTTTAGAGGTTAAGACACCGAGCCAAGATACAATCCCCGAGGGCTCCAGTGCATGCTAGTTGAGGAAACTTGTGTCCTTTTGGATCACTGAGCTATTCTCCCCATTCTTAAAAGTCCCTTAATTTTCTGCATACCATTATAATATTTGACCAATTTTTATGTTTATGGGTGCATTAAGTTGACAGTTGGCCTAAGAGCAGACAAGTTAATCTGTGTCTTCCTCTACAATTGGGCGGCCGGAAAAGTTGTAACTGGTTTGGCAAAATTTTGGCACTGTGTTTGGCGTCTTCTCATGTCCACTTCATTACTTTTTTGTCAATTTCTCTAACATTTCCACATTTGTGTGTGGATCCCGTGTAATCACGTAACTGCGAAAGGCCAGTGAAGACAAAAGGAAAGTTACGGAAGCAGAGACGAATTGGAGCGAATAAGAGAGGTGTGATGATTGATACCAATACGGTTGGTATTTCCTCTTCTTTGATACAAAAGCCCGCAATTTCACCCAACATGACACATGGAAGGCATTCGTAATCTCAGTTTTTACACGAGTTTAAGATGGTCTAATACTGACGTTAAAACAAAAAAAAACGCTCCGTTGAGTTTGTTGAGCATGCAACCGATTGGCGTCGATATACGTTGCCCTAGCATGATTTCAAGTCCACTCAGTCGGGGTTCATGCGCATTCGAGCACAATGACTACACTTGAAGGGCTGCCTGAAATAAAATAAATGCAAAAGACGTGTCCATTGCGTAATGTGGCATAGTCGAATGGATAAAATTTGCCTAAACCACATGGCGTCATGGTCACTTTTTACTGCCTTCACACCAATTATTAGCCCCTTCCACCACATTGACGATCCGCACTGGCAGGTCACCTCTCTTCATTGCTCCTGATCAGTCGCAGCATCGTCTCATCGTCACCTTGTTGTTTGGTCAAGTGGAGCAAGTAGGCGTGCACAACACAGCGCCATGGTCTCCCCAACCTCTCTCCATTAACACAGCCATGTTAAAGGCGACTCGGTAGGTGGTGTATGGAGTCACCGCCTCCTTGACACAGCATGGGTGGACCAGCGCCATCTTCTCAAAGCGCCCTATCAGTCAACTTCTTCATCAGTGTAAGTAGCAAAAACAGGGCAAGTAAATATCAACTGACAGCTAGCATGCCTCCCGACAGGTCCTTCTCAGTTGCTTCATCACCACCACCACCACCACCATCATTACTACCATCACATCTTCTGTGAGAAATTGACTGGCGTTTGGAGGCAACACCCTCTCGCCCACTTCCGATGCCTCACAGCACCTCCTTTATGCATGTCGTGTCTCTGTCTATCTATTCACTGCGGGTTAACTCCTCATATATCGCTTTGTCGTTGCTTGCCACCTCATCTTGCGTGTGTCTATGTGAGGTGACGAACAGACGGTCTGGTCCGCCCCATCGACCACGCCGATGACAGTAGTGCGGCTCTGTCAAGTAGGTGGATGTATTGTCCTGCCGTGTTGGTGATGCACTTTCGGTAGGTCATCAACACGACCTCTCCAACTGTAGTCTGGTTCAACTTCTTTTTCGTCTAAACAAAAATCAAACCATTTAAAAGGGACCTGTAATCAGAGGAAAGGAGCTATTACCATCAGTCATTTCTAATTCCGTTAATAAATCATGTTTCCAACATCAAACTGAGGTTGCAGATGTGGCGCGTACGCTATCATTTTCGTACTAATTTAGTGGCCTAGTCCATCCATAGCAGTCTTGATCAACTCATTGCCAACACCTACAAAAAATTTATTGTTCTGCTCTCGATGCTTTTTGCTACGCTTTCAACTCATGACCAGTGAAGTGGGTCGCCTTCCCCTTCCAACGTAGCGCTGATACACCCTACGCCAACGATACAGTCCCTTAGTAGTTGGAGAAGATGCTTCAGATAATGGAAGGGGGTGCTGAAAACGACAGTCCGTATAAGGAAGGAGGTAATCAGTACATCGACACTTGGTGATATGACCTTTTAACAATCCCGTGACATACACACCCTACCTGTAAAATCCCACATACTGGCAACAAAACGTTGCCTTGGGGAAGAACATAAACACCTTTCTTCCTAATGTCCATCGCTCCTCTATCATTCATGTTCTGGCAGACTGCATTTTGGTAGGTGAACTCCGAATTCTTGACCTCCACCACGACTTCCTGTCTAATTCTTCATCGTCTCCACATCCCCGATTAATGCTTGCGGTGGCTATCTCAACTCAAACAGTTGTTTTTTTACAATAGTTTTGTTGACAAAACGGTTTTCATTGGCGTCATCAAACGGTAGAAATCGCAGTTACTTGTCGAGAATAGTATAATGGGAGCAATGAGTGGAAAAGTTATTTTGTAAAGGTATTTACCAATTTTAAAGTAAAAGAAGAAGACTTATGAAAATAAAAAGGGAGGAAAAGAAGTAGAGCACTGAATAGTCTGCCTGGCTTTGTCTCCATTTGGCATCAGCTCGGAGACGGTTAGCTGACAGTGAGTTCATGGGCAGGGGACTAAATTAATGCATCCATGTGAAGCTTGAGCTTCCCTTCCTCATTCACGCACTTGCAAGGCTCTTATTTAGACCAGGAAGAGGGGACTTCATTTAGAATAGAGAGTTTGCGAAAGGAATTTGTGCCACTATTAAATCAGGATCTCGTTAGCTGATTTGAGGGTTTCTTCTACACCCAAGCATAAAAGCTTGGCCGAAGTCCCCTTTCAACTATTGAAGCATCGTCTTTGTATGGAGTGGGTTTGTGCCACTTCTTCACCACGTCTCATCACGTCACCACATAAACGATGCAGCGTGGTCATGTCGATTTGCCACCGCCAGAGCGATTGCAGTCCAGTGGAGGAGCGAAAAAGTGCGAAAAAGTAATCACG